CTAGGTCTCCTCCTTCAATCCCTAGCAAATCAACAAGTTTGAGTGGCTAGAGAAAGAGATCGGGCAAAGAGAGCTTGAGTGGCATTAATGGTGGAAAGAGAGAGGTTAGAGGTGGATGTGGTAGGTGGAAGAAGCACCCTTATATAGCAACCCTAAAAATCCAACCGTTACTGTGCTCTCAGTGCTGCAGCGGTACAACCGCTCCTAGTCCCGGTACAACCGGGACTCATAGTCTACGTGCAGAACCCTACCAGGCGGTACAACCGGGCGACCAGGCGGTAGTACCGGTTAAAAAGAACAACCGGACCAACCGCCCAGCCACCGCCCAACCACCGCATAGGAACAGAATGTTGGAAATATGCCCTAGAGGCAATAATAAAATGGTTATTATTATATTTCTTTGTTCATGATAATTGTCTATTGTTCATGCTATAATTGTGTTATCCGGAAATCGTAATACATGTGTGAATACATAGACCACAACACGTCCCTAGTGAGCCTCTAGTTGACTAGCTCGTTGATCAAAAGATAGTCATGGTTTCCCGACTATGGACATTGGATGTCATTGATTACGGGATCACATCATTAGGAGAATGATGTGATGGACAAGACCCAATCCTAAGCATAGCTCAAAGATCGTGTAGTTCGTTTGCTATAGCTTTTCCGAATGTCAAGTATCATTTCCTTAGACCATGAGATTGTGCAACTCCCGGATACCGTAGGAGTGCTTTGGGTGTGCCAAATGTCACAACGTAACTGGGTGACTATAAAGGTACACTACAGGTATCTCCGAAAGTGTCTGTTGGGTTGGCACGAATCGAGACTGGGATTTGTCACTCCGTATGACGGAGAGGTATCTCTGGGTCCACTCGGTAATGCATCATCATAATGAGCTCAATGTGACCAAGTGGTTGATCACGTGATCATGCATTACGGTACGAGTAAAGTGACTTGCCGGTAACGAGATTGAACGAGGTATTGGGATACCGACGATCGAGACTCGGGCAAGTAACGTACCGATTGACAAAGGGAATTGTATACGGATTGATTGAATACTCGACATCATGGTTCATCCGATGAGATCATCGAGGAGCATGTGGGAGCCAACATGGGTATCTAGATCCCGCTGTTGATTATTGACCGGAGAGTCGTCTCGGTCATGTCTGCGTGTCTCCCGAACCCGTAGGGTCTACACACTTAAGGTTCGGTGACGCTAGGGTTGTTGAGATATTAGTATACGGTAACCCAAAAGTTGTTCGGAGTCCCGGATGAGATCCCGGACGTCACGAGGAGTTTCGGAATGGTCCGGAGGTGAAGATTTATATATAGGAAGTCAAGTTTCGGCCATCGGGAAAGTTTCGGGGGTAATCGGTATTGTACCGGGACCATCGGAAGGGTCCCGGGGGTCCACCGGGTGGGGCCACCTATCCCGGAGGGCCCCATGGGCTGAAGAGGGAGGGGAACCGGCCCCTAGTGGGCTGGTGCGCCCCCCTTGGGCCTCCCCCTGCGCCTAGGGTTCGAAACCCTAGGGGTGGGGGGCGCCCCACTTGGCTTGGGGGGCACTCCACCCCCCCTTGGAGATGGCATCTCCTAGGGCCGGCGCCCCCCCTAGGGGTCCTATAAATAGTGGAAGGGAGGGAGGGCAGCCGCACCCTAGCCCCTGGCCTCTCCCTCTCCCTCCCATGACACTCCTCCACCCCCCTGTGCTTGGCGAAGCCCTGCCGAGATCACCGTTGCTTTCACCACCACGCCGTTGTGCTGCTGGATCTTCATCAACCTCTCCTTCCCCCTTGCTGGATCAAGTTGGAGGAGACGTCTTCCCAACCGTACGTGTGTTGAACGCGGAGGTGCCGTCCGTTCGGCGCTAGGTCATCGGTGATTTGGATCACGACGAGTACGACTCCATCAACCCCGTTCTCTTGAACGCTTCCGCGCACGATCTACAAGGGTATGTAGATGCACTCCCCTCTCCCTCGTTGCTAGATGACTCCATAGATTGATCTTGGTGATGCGTAGAAAATTTTAAAATTCTGCTACGTTCCCCAACACAGAAGGGAGTCACCCCTGAGTGCGGTAATCGAGCGGTATCGGGCCGGTGCAACCGCATGGCCTCGAGCGCTCGGGCGACTAAGTCATGAGCGGTATAAACGCTCCGGACCCCGGTGGTACCGGTACGACCGGACCAACCGGGCCACCACCGCACGAGTACCGCATCAAAATAGAGGCCAGACCGGTACTTGGGCGGTGCCTGGCCGGAACAACCGCCCTAGTCCTTGTTGAGCATTGGCGGTACCACCGCCCGGAAGCAGCGGTACAACCGCTCGAACAAAGCTGGTCAGCGCCAAGACCCAGCGGTACAACCGCTCCGGAGAGCGGTACAACCGTTGGAGCCCACAGTAGACAGTAGGAAGGAAGGGGAAGACAAGAGAGGGGTGAGGTAAGTGTACGTGAATGGATACCCCCAACACTTTCCAATGTGGATTCCCTCTTGATAGTACGGGTTCCCTATGACCAAAAGAGATAAACAAACGTGTAGAAAACATCGTCTTCGATCCTTTTTTCTTCAAAGAGAATAGCTAACCGAAGAAGACCTAAAACCGAAACCTGAAACACTTAGCATAAGATTAGGTCAATAAAGGGTTGTCATCATCCTCCAAAACACAAAGTAGGGAAATGACCTTACAATCATCCATGCCACTTGTGTCCATGAGTCGTGTTATTTTTCTTTACAATCTATCGATGAGCATTACACATATTGTGCTCTTACCCGATGTGTGCCTGCCTGATGGTGCTTTGACCCACTTTCTTACTACAAACTTTCTAAAACTTGAACTAGTATATGAAGCCCTTCCGGCGCTCCACATGGTATTGTTTCTTTGGCCCACCATGGCAAATTTTTTTTTTGCTAATGGGGCCCCAAATCAACGGACAGAAAAATAGTGGCTTATGCTAGATACAACCTCCACGAGAATCACCACATCTCATTAGTTCACTCCCTCAATCTTCACTTGGTTTGCGTTCTCGCATCTTCTCAACCAAGAGAGGCAAGATCATGGTAATACGTGTGGAGATAACTATATGGAAACCACCAACTAACGTGGGAAATTTACTCATATAAATTCCTCGATAACTCCCTAATTTACTCGGCACACATGCATCCCCGCGCGATTACGTATACAAAAGCCTTGCATGCCCTTTCAGAGAGAGACACCACGATTAAACCGCGCATTGCACACAATAGAAAGCTATTGATTTCCTCGATTAACTAAGCACTATAATCGAGGTGGCCTTATAAATACCAGCCGCCTTCGCCGGCCCTCTGGTCCAACAAACCCGGACATAGGAAGTATACATCAACTCCTGGACCTATATGGGAGTTGTCTGTCCAAACACACCATATTGATGCATGCTCCATTTTATTTTACCAACAGTTAAAGCAAAACAATGTGATGGGTAACTCCATAACATTCTTACTAGTTAGCCTTGTCCACGCGGGCTCTTGTCGACCCCTTGAATCATAACAGACCCAGTTCGACAACGACATGATATCATCACTCTAACTTTACCATCCTAACTGACCTTCGTCACCTTTTTGCCTTATCGAATCTTCGTTGGCCGACGGAGCATGGGGAGTGGACCGCCGGAGGAGAAGACACTAGTCGGCCCTCGAAAAAAAGAAAAAGAAAAGAGAAGGCAAGGGCAAGTCACGCATGTGGCAAGTCGCCGGACATCCTCGACCGTCGGAACAGGTCGCGTGCCTTGCCTTGCCTAGCCGATGCGAACCGGCCTACCTACCTAGTATTAAGGCCAACCCAACCCTGGCGCCGCACCGTACGCACGCGCCCCGCCCACCGCCGCCGGCCGACGCCATCCACAGATCCGATCCCACCCCACCCCAAACCCTAGCGCCAGCCACCCCCAGCTCCTGCCGTCTCCTTGCCGGCTGGCCAAGCAAGCAGAGCAACACAAGCAAAGCCAAAGCCGATTTCCCCACCCGCGAGAGATCTCGCGCAAACCCTAGAATTCCCCTCCCCCCACCGGCGACTCGGCGCGCGGCCATGGATCCGGCCCCGCCCTACGACCACCGCCGCGGCGGCGGCGGCGGGCACTACTACCCCGCCCAGCA